GTGGTTTTGGGTGTCAGAGCAGGTGGTTTTGGGTGTCAGAGCAGGTGATGTGGGTGCAGCCAGGGGGTCACCCTGCTGCCCCGGCTTGGCTGGGTGCTCCCCCTGCCACGTGCTCTGTGCAGCTGGGGTGTTCCTGTGCCCCAGGCAGCCCTGCAGAGCTGCCAGGCCCAGCAGCACCTCGGGGCAGTGCCTCGGGGATCCCTGCAGGAACTTCACTCGCTCACAGCCTCTTCTCTCTTCCAGACAGTGCAACAAGACCTCCAACGGGAGCGACAGCTGCGACCTGATGTGCTGTGGCAGAGGGTACAACCCCTACATGGACAAAGTGGTGGAGAGGTGCCACTGCAAGTACCACTGGTGCTGCTACGTGACCTGCAAGAAGTGCGAGAGGACTGTCGAGAGATACGTGTGCAAGTGAACCCCCTCCCCTGCCCCCCCGGAGCTGAGACAGCAGCACCAGCACCACCCAGAGGACAGAAAACATTGCCCTGAGCAGGGGTCATTTATCTTGCAAAGACACAGGCTCGAGGGAAGCTGGCAGGAGGAAAAGCGAGCGATCACACCCTTAAAAAAAAAAACAACCCAAAAAGCAACAAACCCGCAAATGCTTCCCCCCCATCCACAAAATGCTCTCTGAGAAGACAAAGCCTCATTTGGGATGGTGTGTCCTTCAAAAATACTTCCTGTGGTTGCCAGTGATGTCCAGCCATCGAGTGCCTCAGTGTTCTGAGAAACTAAAGTAGAAACTTTCCCCAGGGGAAGAAAAGCAGCTCCTGTTTGACAATAACTGAGGCTCCCACCTGCCTGTGCCTTCCAGCACAGGGACTGAGCCTCCATCGGGACCATCCCACAAGGGAAAACACGACAACTTTACAGCAATAACTTCGTTGCCAAAGACTTAATTTTTAGCAGGGAATCATCCACTGGGAATGATAAAGGTGGAAAGGTTTCGGGTCAATCCCCTGAAAGGAACAACTCATTTTATCCTTGCTTTTACACAGGTCTGAGACTTCGAGGTTGCTGCTGCAGGAAGGGCTGTCCTTGATTTGTCCGGGCTGGATGGGTGTTCAAATTCAGCCATGGAAAAAGTCCCCTGGGACTGGGAGCCCCTGGGGGCAGGGAGTGTAGGGCAGCCTGAGAAGGACTTTTTGGGGCCACTACTACGAGACAGTAGTGGGCAAAAGCGAAGTCAGAATCCAGCAGGAAAGTAAGACCAAAAGCAAGCCCCTGCTCTCTGTTTGCCCTCTGGGTGTGGTGCCCTCGGTCACTGCCACTGCCCCACACTGGGCCAGCAAGTCCTGGGGGAAATGTGCCACTGGCTCTTTTCCCTTGGTCCAACCCCAAGACCCCTTGGAGAGCGGGGCAGTGCTGGCTGCAGGGAGGGCAGCCCTGGAGGGCAGCAGCCATTCCCAGCAGGAGGGAGTGGGAATGTGCCAGCCCTTCCCGTGGCCCTGCCCTGGCACGGCAGAGAACCACTACCTGTGGCTGTAAATATTTCCCTTTTGTAGGCGGATATATGGCAATATTTATACCTCCTGCTTTCCTCTACTCTACTCCCCACGTAAACATATCTATGTACTATAAACAAGCATTACCCAGAGGGTGAAATAAGCACTGAAGGGCAGCAGCACAGTGTTAGATGGTCGTGTTTCCTCCTTGGAAAGCAGCTCTGATTTTCCTCCCAGGGATGGGAGAAGAACAAGGCTGGAGGCACTCAAAAAGTTCCTCTATTCCCTGCCTCCCCTGGCTCTTCATCTGGAGCAGAATCAGCCAAGAGACAGCCAAGATGATGAAACAGAGCCCTGGGAGAAGGGAAGAGTCACCAATGTTGTTTTGCTGTTTTATCAGTGGCCCCTCTCATGGGGAACATTTCCCAGTGCCCCCGAGGAGCTGGATAACAAACAGGCCCAGCTCCTCTCCTGGGGGTTTGCTCCTGGCTCCTGCACATGGACAGGGGGTGCTGTGCAGGGGAACTTCTGCCTTGGGTTTGGTTCCCTTCTTCCCTCTGTTTTTCCTTTGCAGTGGGCATCCAGCTCTGTGTCCCACTGAGCAAAGGTGACCTTGGGGAAGGATGTGCTGCCCCAGGAGCCTGTGGTGTCCTTCACACCATTCCCCATGCAAAACGCTGTAAGCAGCCAAAAAATCCCTCCTGCAAGAATGTGGGGGGACACTGGCACTTTCCTAGGGGGAAATATGGCAATAACACCACAGCCTTTCTCCAAATCCTCTTTTTTCCCCTACTCAGCCATTCCCTAGGGGCCAACTGCCCCTGGCACGTCTGTGAGCAGCCCTGGGGAGCTGGAGGAGAAAAGCAGCAAGGGCTGTGAGAGCAAAATTCGAGAGATCCTGTTCTCCTCAGCCCCTTTGCTTTGCTGGGATGGGTTTGGCCTCCTGGCCCCCTTCCCTCCCCCAGCCACGAGCAGGCAAAGAGGGGCCTTTGGTGCTTTGTCAGTGGTTTGTGTTCTTGTCACCCCATAAAAGCTGGTGGGCTGAACGTCTCTGCAGTGCAGTGTGATGAGTGCTGGGTGTCTCTGGGCTGACATGCAGACAGGCTGGTGGCACAAATCCCACTGCTCTCCAGCACCAGGGTCTGGCTTCCTTTGATTTGTAAAGAAACTCTCGTTCTTTTGAGGAATTTTATTTTTGTTTCCAGATTCTGATGAAGCCAACAGGGCAGGGATGTTCTGACCAAAGAAAAATTCGAGCATTTCAATGCTATTCTGTAATGACTCTTTTTCTTGCTCCCTTGCTGATGTCCTGAGTCTTTTCTGCTCGGTGAAAAAATAATAAAAAGGAAGAAATGCTCTCTAGGTACATTTTTTCAGCCGCATTCCGCTCCTCCCATGTCAGATTTGTGATCCTTGAGTGGCTTTCTCGTGTCAGCAGAAAGCACCTCTTGGCAGAGCATCAGAGGGTGTGAGGAAACCTCTCAGGCACGTGCAGGTCCAGCAGGTGGGACAGGGACCTGCAGCAGACCCTCAGCCCTGGGACACCTCCTGCTTTGTGCCTGGTGCTGGAGATGCTGAAGTGTTTGGAGGTTCCAAACCTCTGCTGTCTTTGGATGATCCATCCTGGGCTTCCTCTGAATTTTGGGAAAAGAGCCCGTGTGGCCCCAGCCCGTGGCTTAAGCTGTTGCTCTGTGAATTCCCTCTGTTCCACCACTTTTGCCACAACTTCTGAGTTTCAGGGCCCTTTTCCTCTCTGGAGCAGCTGCACACTGCATTTCCTTCCAATACCAACCAGGAATAAAGAGGGAATGTGCACCACAGGGCCGTGCTGGTGGAAGGACTGTCCCCGGTGCTTCACTCCCGGCCCAGCAGCAGAGCACAGGGAGCCCAGCAGGGAGAAGTGTCCTCGCTCCCAGCTGCAATTCCTGGTGCAAAACGTGCCTGCTGAGCTGCCCAGTTATTTGCACAGCCAGGGGAGGTGTCCCTGCCCGTGGAAGGGGACAGTTCCACTGGAACTGGATGATCTCCGAGGTCCCTTCCGACCCAAACCATCCCGTGTTCCTGTGGTTTTCTGTGTGGTCTCAAAGCTGTTTGGGAGCACATTTGTCACAAACCAGTTTCCCTCCCCAGGCCCTCAACAACCAAGGCTTTGCTCTGAAACATGGAGAAACTTTCAGCCACTGAATAAAATGGTTTTAATTCCTGGGAGTGTCTCTCTCGGGTGATGCTGCAGTTCCCTCTCTTACAACATTCCCTACCACATCCCAGCCACTGGCACAATTTGTCCCAGCTCCATGTCCTGCTACACAGCACTGCTGATTTACACTGGCTGGGAAAACACATCTGATTCCTTCCCATAAATCCTGTAATTTCAAAATCTTACCCCAGAGGGAAACGGGAAAACTATCTGGAAGAGTATTATGTTGGTGGCTTTGTATCATTTATTAATTTGAAAAAATATCTATGATCTAATAAAACAGTTTGGACTTAATGCTATTTCCAAACCTGAGGGTTTACACCTCGTGTACATCCAGCTGGCTTTGTGTTTTTTGATGAATTCCCCCCCATCCTCACCCCCTTCCAGTTTTATATCATTTAGATTTCTCCCTGAGGTAGGCAAATGACAGTCATTACAAAAAACTCCCATCTGATTGCTTGTTTTAGTCCACAAAAACAGAAGGTATCTTAATCATGCTTAAGTAGACAGTCCACAGTGTTTCATGTGCAGCTAAAAAAGCCCTTGATGAGGGGAAGGGGAGTGAGGAAAGGAGGCAAAAATCTGAGTACAATTAACAGTGTCTTTGGCAGGAAAGTGATGAAAGAGTCCCCGAGGGACCATCCCTTTTCCTGCTGGACTTCCAGGTGAGCCAGCCCTGTGCTGCCCAGCACCAGGCACCTGCCTGGGGAAGATGCTGGGAAGAGGCTCTGGAGGTGCTTGATGTGGGGAACAAGTGGAAAATCCAGCCCTTGGTGTTACCCCCTACCCATGAGGAAGGATTTGCCCTCCCTGCCTCGGGCAGAGGGTTGTGAGACACCTTTGCTTTGCTCCCCAGAGCATCACAGGCAGGACTTTCTCCTCTGCACGGGGAGACAGAGCCGAGAACAAGGTTGGAGAGAGGCAGGGAAATAACAGGAAACGTCAAATCCACCTGAGATTAATGACTTTAACATGTACAACGTGTTGTGCTGTGTTTTGTTTTCCTCTTGGGACCAGTTTCATCAGTCAGGCAGAGTTTGATTAAATATCTCAGCAGAGCTATGGTTTGTTAATCTAGAGCACAGATTACCCTCTGTTCATGGAAGCAGCATTAGCTGTGTTTTCGAATTGTAAGAGCTACAATAATAATAAAAATAATAACAATAACAATAGTATACATTGTGGATTGTTTTTATTTGCTCTGTTGTTAAGGCCATGTGGACAGCGTTTTTACTATATTGTAAAGATGGTGGGATCATAAAAATAAATCCAGGTAGAGTTGGGTGCTCACAACCCTGTGTTTGTCTGAAGCTCTAGAGAGTGTGACAGCTCAATTCCAACATCCTCGAGGGTTGGCTGCTATCTCAAAACTCATGCTGAATTTCAGAGGAAAGGGAGATTTTAAATCCATCACTCTAAGGGGCTTCTGTCCCTCCCCGTCATTTCTCACCCTGAATTTCAAGTTATTTAGGATTACCCTGATCTGGGTCGTGGTGAAAGTCATTAACAGCAGCAACTGTGTCATCAGAGGAAACCAGCTGGTGGGCACATCTCAAACCACGGGACCAGAGAATGGTTCCAGTCCTTAAAGACCATCCAGTTCCACCCCCTGCCATGGGCAGGGACACCTCCCACCAGCCCAGGTTGCTCCAACCTGACCTTGGACACTTCCAGTGATGGGGCAGCCACAGCTTCTCTGGGCAACCTGTGCCAGGGCCAGTGCAATGCCCCGGGTGTGTGAGGCTGAGGCTGATCTGAGGATCCAGATCTCCCTCTGCTGCTGCAGCCCCTGAGATCAGCCCCCTCCCTGCAGCCCCTTTCCCCTCCCTACCTGCTGGAGATGCAATTAATTTTACAGAGTGCTGCACATGTTGACCAGGGCCGGGCCAGGGCAGCAGGAAAACTGTTTTCTTTCCCAAACTCCTGCTCTGTCCAGGGCTGCTGGGGCAGGTTAACCCTCCCTGCTGCAGGCAGGGTGCAGGCTGGGGGCAGAGCTGGGGGTGTCTGTGCACCAGGGGGAAGGGGAGAGCAGGGCCAGCAGCTCCCTGGGTGCCCACAGGGGAGGAGCAGCCCCGGGGGGGACAGAAGAGCACCCGGGGGGCAGTTGCAGAGCATGGCCCGATTTAGGGTGGCTACAGCTCCCACAGGACTTCCCCTCCACTGGCCAGAGGGCTCCTCTAAAAAACAAGCCAATTAGTTATTAATTATAGCTATATATATATTATTATATGGCATCAAAGAATGAGCCTAAATAACTCCTATGCCCCCAATGATTACATGTGTTATGTTACAGAAATTGCTTAAAGACACTTCCAAACAAAACAGGGAAACTCAGTGAATGAAATCAAGCATTGTAAACATGTCAGTGTAGCTGGTTGGATTCACTTTTCCCTCTTCTCTCCATTAGAGGGAATATTTTCATCTCGGGATTTGCACAGAATTCCAAGGAAACTAAAAAAAAAAAAATCCTTTTCATGGAGTTTGTAAAGAAAATCAAACCATTCAAGTGCACTGTGCACTTGCACTTGCAACCAAATGTCAGACTCAAGGCCCCTGACCTTGACTCGAATTGATAATTACTCTGCTACAAAGCAACTCTTTTTTTTCCCAACCATTAAGGAGAATATTTCAGATAATAAAGGGTAAACAAAGGGACTTCAAAGAACCAAATGAATGCCACGCAGTGACTGTGTTTTACACAAACACTGAGTTGCTGGTAGAGGATTTCTCCCTGCAGAATATTTTCCATTACCCTGTGTCATCTGGTTAATAGCCTGAGTGCCCTGGCTTTACCTTCAGGAGACTCAGATAAGCTGAGAGATCTTCCTGCACTGCCCATGCTTTCAGCATCCTGCTTTTCCTCCTCAAAATGAGCTTGGCCAGTGTAAGGAGATTGACCTTCTTCCTCGCTGCTGATAATCCTGCTGCACTCTGGACATTCCTCTCAATGCCCTGGGTGAAATACAGGAGAATAAAGGAGTCATGAAGAATGAGCTGATATGATCCAAAGCAAAAAAAAAGATCAGCTGTCAGGGGGGAAAGATACTCCAAAGTGCCTTTTAGACACCTAAATTCAACAGTGAGGATTGAATCCCGTGGTGACTACTTTATTAGTGTGTCTTTTAATCCAGAACAAGTGTTCCTTCCCAGCTTTATAACTAATTCCCAGCCTCACCAATTCTGGGTTATAACTGACCCCACCACTGGCTCTGCTGGGTTTCATGCTCAGGGACTGTTCTCTGTTCCAGCTGAGGGCAGGTGATGGGGTTATGGTAGAAATCCAGGGGAGATGGGTTTATATTTATCATCACTGTGACTGACACAAAAGAGATTAAAGCAATGAAACCCAAAATAGAACATCTTCTTGCAGTTTGGTTGGGGGTTTTTTTTGTTTTTTTTTTTTTTTTTTTAAAGGCCCAAAGTTTTCAGTTTGGATTTGCCCTGACAGGATAAAGCACATTTTCAGGCTCAGCTTCTTAATGGGCCACATCTGCTTAATGTAATTGTGCATCTGAACTGTGAGTCCTGTCAGACACGAGCACAGCCAGAGCTGCACTCAGCAGAACTCACTTTCCCTGGAATCAGATAAACTCAGCCCAATAAATTAGTTTTACTGCTCTCAGGATCACCCTGTTATCATTGCAAGTTATTTAGTCTGGGCTTCCCAAACTTTCCCATTCTCTCACAATGAAAGGGACTGAACTCCCAACATAAATAAATAAATTTCTCTCCCTTTTTATTTCCATCTTTCCTTATTTTCTTCCCTTCTTTTTTTCTTTCTTCTGCTCTCTTTTGCTTTTTTTTCCCCTCGCTTTCTCTCTCTTCCCATCAAAGGGCAATATAAAGCAATTCACAGTTGCACTTTTTTAAAGTATGGCTTTTTTGCTCAAAGAGAAGCTATTTAATTAGGCAATTGTGACCTGGCTCTCAGCTGGTGTAAATCAGCAGCAATGATTTATACCAGCTGAACAGATGTATTCTGGTGTTTGGTAGCAGGTTTTAGAGGGCCTGCCTTGTAAAGTGCACTGGACTGTGTATTATATTAGCTAGAAGAACGTTTTGTAAAAATACAGTTGTATTTTATGCCCCGTTTTGATTTTTTTTTCCCCATATCCTTTATATTCCCACGCAGTTTGCATGATTAAAAGAGGGGAAAGATGGACTTGTCATTGCAGAACAGCCCAGAGCTGGGTGATAATGGCCTGGGCTCCCTCCTCCATCACGGGCAGGCTGAGGTGCTGAATATCCCACCCAAGGTACTGACAGCCCTGCTGGAGCCCACGGGCATCCAAGGGATCTAAGGAGCCTCCAGAGGCACCTGGAACTGTGATGGATGCAGTAAGGAGGTGGGAGGAGGTGTCCAACCACCACGCTGGTGGATGGGAAGGACAGTGCAGTGGGAAGGAAAATGGGAAGCAGCACTTGGGGTATTTAATTTTCTCCCGAAGCCTCTGGATCAGTCCCTGGGACAACTGAACTCCAGGAGTGCCAATTGAGAGGTTCGCCTGTGACTGGGGCATCTGAGCACCCGTGAGCATCTCCTGCTCCTCACACAGGGTTAGGCAGGCCTGGCACAGGGGGAGGAAAGGGATGAACGCTTGGGAGCGGCAATATCCCAAATCTCCTGGAAAACTTGGCC